TGCTTCGTGCTATTTTAGCAGTTCTGACCTTTGGTTCTCTAAACAATTATGATGAGGACCTTTCCTATGATCATACTGCTTCTGCCTGCCTTGGCTGAACATCACACTATCATGTTAAATATCCCATTCTACCTCCTGGGACCTCATATTCTGGGACTTCCTTCCACTTTGCAACAAACTGTGTCTTTGGGAAGATCATGCCTTCTGTACCCCAGTTTTCTTATTTGTAAAACAGGAGTTTTCATCATGCTCTTGAAATGTTCTTTCAGATTTTAAAGTTCAGCAAAAAATATTGAAAATTCATGCTTCTTTCCCCTTCTGCCTATGAGATTTTCAGGTTACCAATATTTTAATTTAAGCAATTTAATTTCACTAGTACCAAAACACATTAATCCTACTAAGAATTGGATCCAGTTGGAACATTCTTTAGGTTATTAGTTATAGCACAATTTTTTTTATTTGATAGAATATAATTCAATTTCCTTTGATCAATATTTGACTCCACAACAAAATGTTATTGATAACCCGCCAGATGTCTGCCTAATTCAGAGTTATCAATTCCACAACAGTTTAGTATTTAATGAATCACTTCTATGTGCCAGGGTTCTGTGTTAGGTGCCAGAGATGACTGATATATAAACCCGGTCTAAAAGGAGCTCATAATTTACTGGGAGATATAGATAAACCAATGAATCAATCTAACAAATGTAGACTGGTCCAAGAGCTAAATCTAACAACAACACAAAAACAACTGTAGAAACGTGGTCAAATATGAACATAATGCTATAACTGCCATTTATTCTAGGGAGTTAATGCTGTTTCAGAAAAAAAAAATCAGGGAGCCTTTTAAAATCTGGTGACAGTCCAACAGTGTGAAAAGAAACCCACAGACAGATCTCCCTCTGCTATACCATTTGATTGCAAGAGCAGACTTTAAGATATTTCTATGGTTTTTGAGCTTACCTCCTTCCATAACCCTAGAATTGCTGCCTTTCTGAGCAAGCTTTAGTCTTGCAGTCACCAGGAGGGAAGCAATCTGCTGTTCATTCCTGAAGCCCCAGAGAACCACCCTTCTGCTTGTACTATTTCTATGCTGCCAAATTGGCAAGGAATCTGTTTTGAGGGCATGTGGGTCAGGGTAGCCTTCTCAGTAGGATAGCTCATGGGACGCTTGGACAGGGGAGCAGAATGGAAGGGAAGCCTCACTGACAAATACAGCCAAGAATTCACTCCATGAGATGTAATTAATCTGTAGCTGAGGAGCAAGGCAGGTTAGCCATTCCTGGAATGTGTTACTTTAGGTTTGCACCCAGCCAGAATTCCCATGCACTCAAAAGATAAGCTACGCAGAATTGCTGAGATCTTACCAATTGTAGACAGTGCTTAGAAAATAATGACTAAAGAAAAAAAAATATATTCTATATGCTTTTCTAAAACTCTCTTTATGAGAGCTAGTTTTTGCACAATGCTTTGTAGTTTGTAAAGTACAAACTCACATACCCCTGAGGAAGGTAGTATCACAGCCACAATTTAGTAAATAAAGAAAGTGAGACTCAGAATGGTTCAGCAATTTCCCCAAGATATTACAGAACCATGACACAGTACCAGGTCATGCTCAGCGGCCCTCTGACTCTAGAGCTCATGGTTCTTTCACTACAGAATTTATCTTCACACTTAGAATCCAGATTCTCTAATGTGAATTCTTTTGCATTTTTTTTTAATCAACTTATTCTGCTTGGACCACTTCCTACTGCAGTACCCATGCTGCTTTACAAGTGTTCAAAATAACCACTTTTGTTTACTGCTCCTGCTTCCCCTTTGGAGGAAGAAGATCCTCTTTCTGTCATATACATAGCTCTACATTCCTTCAATCGAGTTTTTCAATTCTTTATGAAGCAGCACACAGTACATGTTACTTAACCTCTGCAGTTCATTCTATTCATCCATAATGTAATGAAAATGGCACTTACCAGATAGGATGGCGGGATTCCCATAGGTATTAAATGAATCAATTCACACATAGAATTTGGTACCTAATAGGTTTTCAAATATATATTATTTGTGGTTTTAGGATTTTAAAAATATTGTAACTTTTGGCTATTGTCTGTATCTTTCTTATGTTGTTTCCCCATTGATTGTTTTACTTTCAAAAGTCACGAATCAAAGTCCTATTCATTCTTCAAAAGGTTTCAGATCAAAACTGTATTCTAAACAATAGAATCGAATTGCTCATTGAATATTCACTGTGTGTGAGGCAAGGGGTTAGGTGCTATAGATACAGGGGCTGAAAAGAACAGCTCTGGTTTCTCTACTTCCTTGGTGTCCTTTTCTTCACTCCCAAATATCCTGGCCTATCGGTAACTATTACTAAGGAAGTTGCATTTTGCTTTTTGTTGCTTGTTTCTTTACATATCTAGTCTAGGGAATATTAGGTGGAGAAGAAAATATTTAACAATGGTTTGATCTTCATGTTTTAATATAGCATATGACACCTAGGGGTATTTAATGCTTGTTGAAGGAACAGATGAATGGATGCAGGTGTATGGAGGAGTGCTTGCTTTTCTCCATGGAAGGCTTTCTTAGACAGTGAAATGCAAAGCAAAGGAACATGTTTAGAAAGCTGCTTTCTGCTGCTCTGGCATTTATCTTACACACCGTCCAGTACTAACACTTTTTATTCCTTCCTGCGTTTGCTATCAACATAAAAACTAGTACTATTGGTTAAACTTGAAAATGGAAACATTGCTGCCCAATGTGTAACATAAGACCAAACAGATCATCTGAAATCGAGACATAGATAAGCAAGAGTTAGTTCAATTCAGACTATTTCCATATAGGGAATTTGAAAGCCTGCAGAAATAAGAAGGTGTCTGGAGTCATTGAATGTAGCATCCTCACCATGAGCAGGTTGTGCTAAACTGCAAGCACTTTAGAAGCTGCTGCCAGACAGACAGTGACATAGCATCCTGAGCTCAACTGCCTAGTACAATTCTTCATTCAATCAATCTATGGAGGATAGGATTCAGAAAAAGAATTACCAGCAATTGCTTTAATAAAAATAGATTAAAAAGATGTGGACAGAATGTGAAGCAGCTTTCAGAGCTCTAGGTAAATGATTGCACATTTCACCCTATTTCTGTGTTTGCTTGTTTGTCTCATTTGGGGAATTGGCACTATTAGTATTATTGCAAAAGTGTCTATGCCCACTTCAAAAAATAATAAGTGCAGAGGACATAAAGTTCATGCCTAAGTCTACCAACCAGAAATAAATTATCAATATGAATTAATATCCTTTCTTGGCTCTATTCATAAACATATGCACATATGAATACAAATGCATATGCTTGTGAAATAGGATATTATTAAGTATTCTGTTCTAAAAAATTCATTCCTTACTTAAATATATACTAAACATTTAAAACACAACAATTTAAATATACATCATAATTTTAATGGATATTGAATTTTTCATTATATACAAGAGTTCACTAAATGTATTTGCAGTGTACTTTGTGAAAGGGCAGTAGATAATATACTTAAATCACTTCTCCTAGCTAGGTTTCTAGTTAGAACACCATAATTAGACATTGTAATCCTTCATTTATTCATTTAAATGATGATGTGTTTGGCATTATGCTAAGTACAAAGAATATAAACTAAAAAAATATGTGTCAGATAAAATGAAAAGTGAAGTAACAATTCAAGATTTTGTTAGGTAAACTAGTAATTGGACAATTTTATAATATGTTTTAATCTATGGAAAGGGAAGCACAAAAGTTTGTTGTTGTGTTGTTTGTTTTGGCGCTGGGAATTGAATCCAGCCACATCCCCAGCCCTCTTTTATATTTCATTTAGAGACAGGATCTCACTGAGTTACTTAAGGCTTCGCTAATCTGCTGAGTCTGACTTTGAACTCATGATCCTCCTGCCTCAGCCTCCTGAGCTGTTGGGATTATGGGCATGCACCACAGCATCTGGCTCACACAAAAAATTTTAAAGACCCAAAAGAATGGTGCAAGTGCCTTGGGTAGTGGAAGAAGCTATGAAAAAGTTATGTTTTAACTACCTCTTCACTTATAAATATAGTGGAAACCTGGTTAGTCAGCTTTTCATCACTGTGACTAATGTAACTAACAAGAACAACTTAGAGAATGAAAGACTTATTTTGGCTTACAGTTTCATAGGTCTGAGTTGATGGATGGCTGAATTTATTGCAGGAACATTATGGCAGAAGGGCATGGAGGGGGAAAGCTGCTCAGCTCATGGCAGCCAGAAAGCACTGAGAGAGTGCTCCCCCAACACTGGTCCACACTGTCACTAACCACTCCAACATATTGCTCTGTCTGAGAAAGTCCTGAAGAGCTAGAAGTTAGAAACTCTAGTTGGTTCTCTAAAGTCCAAATGACCACCTTCAAACAAATCCTCTAGCACCAGTAGTTATATTTGCTTCAAACGCAGTAAATAATTTTTTTGGAAATCATAGTCTGAACACTCAAAATCCTGAAATAATCACTTTATCCTCTTCATGAATGCTACAATGATTACCTCATTAATCTTGTGTGTTAATGATTTTACTCTTAACTACATGCCTTAAGAAGGTCTGGGAACTAGAACCATATAGCCTAGCAGACAGCTAGCCTGTCCTTGGGAGTTTTATATCTCCTACATCAGGGCAATCTGCAGTCAATGGCTATTTAGGAAGGGTTTACAAACTGAAATATACTCTATAAACTATCAAGACCTGGCTGAGTGTAGGACTTCAAATAAAACTGTACCCTTAAATGGCTTCTTCTCATTCATATCCAGCCTTACTCTTCCCTCCCTTAAAGCTCTCTCTTTACTAAACACTTCTTTTATAAAACATTGGCTTAGGATATCCTTCTGAAAAAAAAAACGACAAAAATTTATTTGCTTTATGTGATAACTAAAGTCACATTTGATAGATATTTACTATATTTAAATCTAACAAACACAAAATTTATGAAAAAGTCTCAACCAACCTGTCAACAAAGGCATGATGAAGAAGAAAAATGGGATCATTGGCTGATCCCTGCACCTGTGACATCGTTCCATTCATATAGATGTGCAAAGCATTGTGCATGCTGCTTTGAGTGGCATCTGCTATCCCAGTAAGTGGACTAGCAAATCCTGTTGGTCAAAAGAAAATTGCACAAAAAAAATTAGTTTATCTAAATGATTAAAAATATAAGCAATTATCTCATTTGCTTTACAACTTCAGTGGAAAGCCTAATTCAAAATCAAATCAATAAGAAAATTCATTCTGTATTGGGATTCCTTACATTCAGGATACCTGGTGAGTATTCAATAAATCTTGTGCAATTGAATGGTGTTAAATTGAGTATAATTGATGGATTAAGCAGATGGAATAGGCTGAGCCAATTTGTGCTCCCCTGGTTACTTCTATTATTCCTCCTTTCAATACTTCAAAGTGATAAGAGCATTTTATAATAATCAGCATAGTCATTTTTTACTTCAATTTGCAATAGCACTTAGAGTTCTTTTTAGTCCATTATATGTCCCCTTGCTTTCCAGAATTAGAGAACACTTTAATGTGGGTATCTGGAAGAAGAGAAAGCACAAAATTTGTGACCTCCCATATTATAATTCATCCGTGACAGTCTTATGGATACCAGGTCATAATGTGATTTTTGTAAAAACATTTATTTCAAAGTTAATTAGAACTCCTTCTCAAAGACCATACCAATCACTGATCTCTGTAAAATCACCCTCATAACATACAGTTTTCTCTTCATGGGATTTCCTTGTCTAAAATAACTATTATGGAAAAAAATATTATATATATATGTATATATATATAATATATATATGCACATATATAATGATTTAGATGTAAGGTGTCCCCCAGATGCTCACTTGTGAGACAATGTAAGCAGGTTCAGAGGAAAAATGATTGAGTTGGCAGAGTCTTAACCCAATCAGTGAATTAATCCCCTGATAGGGATTAACTGAGTGGTAACTGAAGTGGTAGGGTGTGGCTGGAGGAGGTGGGAATTGAGGTGTCTCTTTGGGGTATATATTTGTAACTAGCAAGTGAAAATCTGTCTCTCTGCTTTGGGATCATCATGTGAGCTGTTTCTGTCTGTCACACTCTTCAGTCATAATGTTCTGCCTCACCTTGAGCCCTGAGGAATGGAGCTGGGTTCTATGAACTAAGAACTCTGAAACCCTGAGCCCTCTAATAAACTTTTCCTCCCCTGCAATTGTTCTGGTTGGGTCCTTTTAGTCACAGCAGTTAAAAACAAAACAAAACAAAAGCTGACTAAAACAATATGCATGGCATTTACTATGTGTAAACATTTTTCCAAGAGTTTATCATGATTTTCATATAATGATTTCATATTAGGTTGAGAATGATCATACAAATTAGGCACTTACTTGATTATGGATATGGAAGAAAAAGGCTTACAGAGGTAAAGAAATTTGTGTAAGATTAAAGAATAGAAGGCGTAGGGTTTGGAACAGAACCCTATTTCACTGTGGTGCTTGAGTTCTTAAATGCACCGGTTTACTGCATTTCTTATGTAGCAATAAATCTTGTATTTGAGGACAACATTTCTGTCTTTGAATAACTCTAAATGCAAGTTTTATTCATGGAATTTTACACACTTTCTTTCATATTCTTAAGTAGGCTTCAAATTGTTTTATGCATAATTATAAATAGTTTCAGAGAATATAATTCAGGGCCATGACCAATAGTATGTATTTTTATAAAATATTCTAAAAGTGCTTTTACCTTAATGATTTGATAACATCATTCCTATCAAAAACACCTAAATGAGCTCATAGTTGGAACTTTATAGAGTTTCCTTTTTATTTCAGCTTAGCCTTTATAATCTAATTTCTCATAGAATTATTCCTAAATGTGACATATTTTATGATGAAAACATTTTTTAAAAATTGGATTGGGAAAATGCTGGTCAAAGTATACAAAATTTCAATTAGATAAGAGGAGTACGTTTAGGAGATCTAGTGTGTCACATGGTGGTAATAGTTGATACCAATTTTCCATTATATTATACGTTGTTAAGAAACTACCTATTACATTTTATTTTCTATTAATCAACTGTATTTTTACCATCTTTTAACTCTGGTCCTCGCCATTCATATTGCTGCAGTTATTAGTACTATAGATGACATAGTTGACACTTGCTGTTTACTTTAATGTCAGATCCAGTTCCTAACTATTATTGTTTTTGCTATTGGCAATTTTTTACTTCACCATTTCTATTTTTTATTAATTAGTATTGCAGATGTTATAGTAGACAAATAAAATGTAGCTGGGTCTTCAAAGGACTTAAAAACAGCATTCTATAGTGATACAGCCACATCAATGCTTGTAAAAGTTTAATTCACAATAGTAGAGCTATGGAAACAAAGTAGGTGCCCTTGAACATATGAGTGGATAAAGAAAATGTCACACACACACACACACACACACACACACACACACATACACACAATGGAATATTACTCAGCCGTAAAGAATAATGAAATTATGGCATTTGCTAGTAAATGGATGAAACTAGAGACTATCATGCTAAGTGAAATAAACCAATCCCCCCCAAACAAAGGCTAGATATTCTCCCTGATATTCAGATGCTAACACACAATGAGGTGGGTAGGGAAGAATAGAAGTTCATTGGATTAGAGAAAAGAGAATGAAAGAAAGCGGGTAGAAGGGTGAGAATATGAAAGACAGTAGAATAAATTAGACATAAGTTTCCTATGTTCATATATAAATACACAACCAGTATAAATTCATATCATGTATAACCACAAGAATGGGAAGTTATACTCTTTATATGAATCATATGTCAAAATATATTCTACTGTTAGCATGAGTAAAAAGCACAAAAAATTCATAAAAATTTTTAATATATGTTTGTTTCTTGGTTTTCAGTTCATTCCCCCAACCTATGTCTATTCATTGTAGAGTTGATATCATTTACATTCAATATTATTATAAAAGGTGTTTATTAATTCTTGCGATTTGGATTTATTTCTAATATTTAATTTGGTCTTGTACTTGTTTGCTTAGCTAGTCTTCAAATGAGTTTTGTCCATTTGCAAGCTTGAGTTTTATTTTTTTTTAATTTCTTCTGTGTAATGTATTTAAGTATTTTGTGTTGTGCCAGCTTAGTTATAAATTCTTTTAGTTTCTGCTTATCTTGGAAGGTTTTTATTTCTTCAATTCTGAAGGATAACTTGCTGAATATAGCACTCTAAGTTGACAGTTATTTTCCTTCAGGACTTAGAAAACATTAATCCAAGCCCGCCTAGATTTTAGAGTTTGTGCTCAGAAATCTGAAGTAATTTTGATTGGCTTGCTTCTAAATGTGACCTGATTTTTTTCTCCTGAAGCTTTTAAAATTCTGTGTTTGTGCTCTATGTTAGACATTTTAATTATAATGTGTCATGAAGAGATTCCTTTTTTGATCTTGTCTATTTGGAGTTCTGAATGCATCCTGTATATCCTTCTCAAGGTTTGGAAATTTTTCTGTTATTATTTCTCTATAGAGGTTATTGATGCCATTAGCCTGCATCTCACACTCCTCTTTAATTCCCTTCATTCTTAAATATTTTTTAAATATTTTTTATTAAGTTTTAGGTGGATATAACATCTTTATTTTACATTTATGTGGTGCTGAGGATTGAACCCAGTGCCTTGTGCATGCTAGGAGAGCACTCTACCACTGAGCCACAATCCCAGGCCCTCATTCTTAAATCTTAATGTTATCCTAGAATTATTATATATTATGGTCATAATTTTCTTTTAATACTGTCAAAATGTTCAAGGTTGGCCACATTGTCTTCCTGCTCTGGCATTCGGTCTCCAACATGGTCTACTCTAACAGAGAGATTTTCAACCAAGTATTTTGTTTGATTTGCTGTGTCTTTATTCAGTTGTTTTCTGTGTTATCTTGGATTTCATTAATCATCTTGATGAACATTCTTTTAAATATTTTGTTTGATATTTCATCTACTTCAACAACTTTGGAGTTGGTTGCTGGTGAATTATGCACTTTAGGAAGTTTCAGTTACCTTTTTTTCTTAATATTTCTTGTAATCCTGTCTTGGGTTTTATGCATCTATTGGGATAGACTCCTCTTTCACTTTTATGTGTGGGACTTTTTAGGGAACAGCCTTCTTTTTCAATGTATTCTAGAGTGATCTAGTTTGAAACATCCTCATAGGTGATATTCATAACCTTTTTAAAAAAATTATCTGCTTTTGCTATAGAAATAGATGTCTATAGCTGGGTGTGGTGGCAGACATCTGTAATCCCAGGAGCTTAGGAGGCTGAGGCAGAAGGATCTCAAATTCAAAGCCAACCTCTGAAACTTAGCAAGTCCCTAAGTGATTTAACAATACCCTGTCTCTCAATAAAAAATAAAATAAAAAAGGGTGGTGAGTGATGTAGGGGTTAAACACTGCTGGGTTTAATTCACAGTATAAAAGTAAGAAATACAAATGTTCAACAATATATGAAAAATATTTCAAGATTAGTAGTTCTTAGGAAAACACAAATCAAAATTACACCGAGATTTCATCTGAATCCAGTTAGAATGGCAGCCATCAAGAATACAAACAATATTAATAAATGCTATATGATGTGGCAAAAAGAAACACTTTTACATTGATGGTGGTACTGTAAATTAGTACAACCACTATAGAAATCTGTATGGAGGTTCCTCAAAAGACTAGGTATGGAACTATGTTATGACCCAGAAATACCACCCTTAAGTATTTACTCTAAAGAATTAAAGTCAAGCATGTTCTAGCAATACATTCATACCCCTATTTACAGCAGCAAATTCACAATAACCAAGCTGTGGAGCCAACCTAGGTGTTCATCAATAGATAAATGGATGAAGAAAATGTGCTATAAATACACAGTGGACTTTTATTCATCCATAAAGGAGAATGAAATCATATTATTGTCAGATAAATGGATGGAACTTGAAAACATATGTTAAGCAAAATAAGTCAAATGCAGATAGTTGAAGATCTTATGTTTTTCTTATATGTAGAAGGAAAAGAGGGAGGGGGAAGAAAAGCTGTGGAAGTGGCAGAACTCATGAAAATTGAAGGGAGATCAGTAGAGA